CTATCTATCTATCTATCTATCTATCTATCTATCTATCTATCTATCTATCTATCTAAATGCAGTTTGCAAAAAATAAAAAAAAATAAAAACACCAAATATTTTCAAGATAATCTCCAGACAACAAAGATGTCAACTCTTCAAGGTAGACGAGGTTTGGAAGCACAGACAACAAGAACTACAGGACCTCTACTTTGTTTGTTGTAGGATATAAGAGCAGAATCCTGGAAGCCAGACAGAGTTTCTCCCTCCCCCCTCAAGAATAGGATTTTGCAAATATGTAGTCCAATTTTGCCTTTCGGTGTGGCCTAGCTTTTATGTGTAGTCTTTATAACCCCGTTCATTCATTCTAGACGTAGTCTCACAGCAGCCACTCCTCACCCATTCGGTGAAGTGTGTCTTTCCATTATTGTCTATTTTTAAAAGGCTTTCCAATCGTTCGGCACACATTTCCTAAGAAACGCGCCACAACATCTGCTTTTCCACAATGATTCTGCTTTTCCACAATGATGTGCCTCCGTCCATTGAGAAGAGATAATAGCAGTTACAAGCATATCAATAGAGAGATGTGAAGCAAACCGTTAGTTGGCCCCAGCATTTGTCTGAAATACTGCAGCCTGTAAAGAATTAAAAATGAACAATGATTAGAAGGAGCAATGGTGATGTCCTTCGAGCAAAGCAGATTGTAAATTAAATGAGCAAGCAGAAGTTCTTACGGGTCAGTAGACTCGAAATAAAATACTTTAAGACCCCAACAAACAATAGCCTAGCTGATTGAGGACTAATGTTTGAAGACAAATATGTTCTTACGGTAGTAGTCTCTGAACATGTTCAAAGAGATCTTGAAATGCAAATTGTGTTTTCATGAGTTTCTAGCTTCCCAAAATAAAATTCACAGCTGATAGTTTCACAAAAATGTTTTGGAAGCTTTGAGCACTGAGGATGCATTCCAAAATAAACCTGATAAGAGCACAATAGACAACAACAGAGACACAACACCACATGTAACATTAGAATGACATAACAGTAATGCATGCATTTTAGCATTTTACATATGCCTCTATAATTACAGCTAGAAAGTAACTTACGTTGATATACAAAATTCTCTAGTTTTTAGATATAAACTACATTAGACTAGTGTGCATCTAACAATGTTTTAACCAATTAAAATGACTGTAGTAGAAATGAAATCAATATTTGGCTAGGGACCACCCCTATCTGCATCCAGAGTGTGAGAAGTTGCTCCTAATTTTGCAACTTAAAATCTGACACTGGATTTTTTTTCCTTGGCTGAAATTGTTTTGCTGAACTCAGAATGATTCATGATGTGAATAAAATTTGGTTCAGTTTAGTCAGAAGTCAAAGAAAAATGCTGTTCCAGGCACCGCTATGATCTCCTTTTGTAAAACACTTTCTGAAAATGAACACGTGATTATCTGGAAACGTTTCTTCCTCACAGGCATTAAAATGAAATGTTTCATCCGCCTTTTTTAGTACCTGAAATAAAAAATTGAATTAATACTAGGCAGTCAATGGAACCTTAAAGCCACACTGTGTCCCTTCAGTTGCAAAGGCTTCTAATACCTATTAGTTTCCAATATTTTTCAACATGTTTCAATTATGTTCAGTAATTGCAAGGCTGTAAGGAAGACATCTGTAATATTAGCATAAACATTTCTCCAGAGCAACCTGTTTAGTTTTAGAGCAATTTTGAACCATTATCAGCCAGATCATACCTGCTCATGGAGGTTCTATTACATTTTCCCTAAAGCACTATCTCCCTTACGTTCATTACATGCCCTGTCATAGGACAAAGGAACAAACCAGCAGACACCCTCCACCCCTCCACTTGGGATCACCTTGAAGCCTCCGTGGCATCCCATGGTGGAGGCACTGGCCAAGCTCCCAACAGAGAAATGAAGACACAGTGGGTGCGTGGAAGCACCATTTCTTTGTGGAGGGTGTCTGCTGGTTTGTTCCTTTGTCCCATTACATGCACACTCCCCTTTCTTCCCAGCTGTTGTTTCACCTGGAATTGCCCACGGACAATGACTTAGCAGAGGAGGCTGCAAATCCAGAGAATTGTTCTGCGCCATGCATTGTGCAGCAAACCAGATATGCACGCCGTCCCTAAAGCTGCAGCGGTGAATTAATGGGGAGCGAGAGGTCTCCCTCATTTTGTGGGGGCTGCAACCTTATATGACAGTAGAGAGCCCCCCTCCCCAATGTTTCAGTTACTCTCCTGGAGTCCGAGGGCATGCATAATAACATCCCCTCCCTTTGCTCCTGATATTTATAATAAGTGCTTTAAATTCAGGTCTTTGAATTGTCCTTCTAGCAGCTCTTCATAAAGGGTGTGTGTGTGTGCTATTTTACAGGATGCCTACGCTAAGTTTTAAGCTTTTTAGGAATCCTCCAAAGGTTCCTCCTCTATGTGTTTGAGAAGATGGTAATAAAGAGGCATGAAATAGGATAAGTTTTAAGTTTCCCTTTGAGAGTTGCCTTTGGTTTCATCAACTGCTTATAGGTATCTTAAAAGCTAGCCATGGTTAATTTTTTACTTAGCCCAGCAGCCCAATTCTCACTGAGAAGGCTCTCTTGAGTTCTCCCCAGCAAATTACTCTCCCACTTTTCATAGAAAAATGCACTTATCCTGTTTTATTACTAACTGTAGTTGCTAGCCTTCCCTTTCATAGAAAGTACCCTACCTCCTCCATCAATGTCTGCCTTTCTGCTTACAAAAATCCCTGAAGCATTTATTGTAAATTGTTTTATGTCTCCACAGAAAGCCAGAGCAATTGCTGGTTTTTAGAAGCGTATGCTGCGATGGGGCTTTGCTTCTCCTCCTTTCTCCAAGAAGCAGACAAGACAATTCCTAGTAATTAATGAATCAAAAAATTTAGCCGATTCTCTGCAGCCCGGGGTAACCGGGTGAATAAGCAGTCTGCATTTCTTTTAGTGCTAAAAGTTTATCCATGGGTTGTCTGTTAACATTTTATACTAGTTACTTGTTTAGATTATACTCAAGGTGGCGTCATTCTCAGTTGTTGGCATTTGCATTATGATCCTTTGTTCATCTTGAGGTTCCGGCTCTTGTCTGAGCTCTGTGCCTGCCTCTTGAGACGCCGACAGGTTTGATTGTGGTCAGTTAGGTGTTGGTGAAAAAGCGGTTTCTTGGTTTACAAAGGTTCGGTCTCCCCTTGGGGATTTTCTACTTGTTTAAGAGCTGCAAATGGATTGGCAAACTTGGTTTAAAATGGTGGGAGGCCAGAAGTGGTCCCCTCTCTTTAGTTTGAGGACTCTTTATTTCCAAATGCTCAGAAATCTGCCTCATCGCATCCAAAGGTGTTTCTATTTGCTCCATCCATTTGTAAATGGTGCCCCAGGAGACTCTGCTGATTTCTACCAATTCTTCTATGGCATCTTGATAGAAAAGATCAGCACTGGTCCCTGGGGTTGATGCTGCAATGAATCAAAGGATCCAAATTCATTATGGTTGACAATTATCATATTTCCTTGTCGTCCTCTGTGGCCAGGTGGGCATCCCCATGTCAAGGTCATCCCAGCATTTTGTCGGGACTGAGAAGTCTACTGAAATTGCGAACAGCATGATTACTCACCCTTTGCATCCTCCACCATTAAATATTATGACCCTCTTATGGCCAGTCTTCCCTTGGCCCCCATTGAGGCACACATAACCAGCTCTCCCCACCTGCTGTGCTTCACAGCTCAGGAACAGCTTGCAGAAGGCCTTTTGAGCTTCCTGGAGACTAGTCTTGGTCAACGGTAGGGAGTTTTTGTGGGGAACACACTCACACAATGTTCAGTAAAGGACAGAAGGAAGAGCCACTGCCAAGACAGTGGTCAGTTAAAAGGGGCCGGAGCCTGGGTCAAGGAAGTAACTTGAGAAGACATCTCAGACAAGCCCCTCCCTAGTTCACACGAAGATAAAGGGAGGGACTTCCAAGATTCTGTTGTTATAGCTGTTCCAATAAAAGTAGTTTTAGTTCTATATGGCCTTGCTTTCTTAGTCTGGTCTACCTTGTAGGGCTGACAATGTGTGGGTATATGGCTGCACTCATTTGAAGTAAATCATAATGTGGTTTCTTCAATTTTGGCATAGCAGGGTGTGGAAATCCTGCCAGTTACTCTTGATCTGGTAAACCATAATCCCTGTGTGTGTTCCTTCCAGATCCCTCACATACAACTTGCCTTACCGAAGCATGCATCATTGTAGCTGGTAAAATCTTGGAAGCTCTGGACCAAGACGTCAAGCCCTGTGATGATTTTTACCAGTACGCTTGTGGGGGATGGATCAAGCGGAACCCACTGCCAGATGGGCGCTCCAAGTGGAGTACCTTCAACAGTATTTGGGACCAAAACCAGGCCATCATGAAACACCTGTTGGGTAAGTTGTGGCTGCTCACAGATGGGCATCAGAGTACACTTCTCCCTTGAGCAAAAGAAGCAGGTTCTGAGTCTGGGCTGCTAAAGAAGCTGGAGATACATGATGGTGTTTGACATCTCAGAGCCAGGGCATTGGGGAAAAAAGAGGGGTCTCATGTTGGAGGCATCATTTTGTCTACTCTTGTGGGAAAGAACGTGGAGAATAACACTGCAGCTTTCTCCTTGAAGGGTGAGAAGTGGAAGGTAGATTTAGACTGAGGAAAACGTGGACGTTGAGTCTTATATATTAAGGGCTTTTCATGGTCAGTAAAGTTGATCAGTTGCCTTGGTTGGCTGCTAATCTGCTTGCAACTAAACATAGCCTTAGAAGGCAGCATTCCTTTCATTCGGGGATTCCGAGCCTGTGATTGGAGCTGTCCAGCACCAACCCTTTCTTCACCACCATGTGCTCCTCTCTCCAGAAAATGCCACTTTCAACTCCAGCAGTGAGGCTGAAAGGAAGACGCAGCGCTATTACTTATCCTGCCTCAGAGAACAGAAGATTGAGGAACTGGGGTCCCAGCCACTGATTGATCTGATTGAGAAGGTGAGTCTGGCCCAAGGTGAATTGGGCATAGGAAGTGTTGCTGTGAAGGCTGGAGGGTTTTGATGCAGAAAGGAGGGCCAATCAATTCTTGTTCCTTATTGCCTGTGTTCACATCACATGCTTAATTAAGTCAATCAGGGATCTAGTGACTTCATTCTCATAACAGTAACTCAGCTTGGTTAGTCTTCACTTTCTTTTGTTTTCTTCTGTTTTAGTATACTGCATGAAGCCAGACCATTTGGTTAGTTTAGGATTCAGTATTCTGTGTAGATCCAGAAATAAATGAATTCAGTCATCAAATTAAGTGGCTTGTGTGAATTCAACCAGAGAATGGAAAAAGCACAAATGTGGTCTTGTCCTCAACAGAAAAAATATACTCTCAGGACCTCGGAGAGTTCAATTTCAGAGATTACAGGCTGGGTTACTCCTCAAGTAGACAGTTGTGGGCCCTGCAGCTATTTGTGTCCAACAACCATCTTAAGAAGGGTGCTGAGGCTGGGTAACCCCTCAACTTTACCGTTGCTTAAGACTGACCCATAGATCACGTTTAGATTTCCATATGGTTGAGAAACTGGTGCTAATGGATTGATCACCTTCTGGGTCTAGCCATTCAGAGAATGAGAGGCCATTTCCTCAAGTAGGTCAGCACAGAATTGGGCAGGTTGAGGGGATTTCTTGGTGTCAAAAGGTTCTTTTAAATCCCACTAAACCCCCTGCCCTGGGTCTTCTGATTAGGAGAAAGAAGAAGAAAAATCACGCTGTGAAAATCTGAGGTAGACAGATTTTTCTCAGGAGGGCCTATTGCTCACAGTAGGCTGCTGAAGAATACAGCTTCCCTTGTTTGACACTGGACACTAAAAAACCCCCAACCCTATATTATTTCAACTTATTCTCAGGGTTTATTTTATTGCAAGCAGGAAATATATGAAAGTAGGTAGACATGAGTACAATAAAGCACTGTTCATAAAAGGAGCTTGCTTAGGAATAGTTACGACATGTTTTGAATAATAAAAGCATTTTGCTCCCACTTCTCCTGAGAAGAATCAGACTTCTACCCAAGGCCAGGCAGTTGAAGTTTTATTAATTCACATAATCAAGGCAGATATGGCTGAAATCTGGATAAAACTGCTCCAATGCTGTACAACCTGTGGAGGGCAAACCCATCCTTAATCAGATCCAACAAGCAAGGAGATGACTGGACTGAACCCTTGTATCTAAACGAGCAACAATAGCCATGTTAGAGCCAGATTGTCCATCGAACATTAATCAAGGACATCTTCATATCTGAGTGATTTGATCATATTGAAAGTTAGAAAAAGCAGGTTGGCTAGCAACAGGATGATCAGAGGTTCGTCTTACTTACTTCAAGGACAATTCTGGGATCGTACTCCCAATTTTGGGCATCTGAGAAAAGTCAGCAAAAATCTGCAGGAAGAGTGGATCGTGCTAAGAGGTAGGATAGTGTCGAAATAGCTGTCTTGAGGATCTCAACATTTCTTGAACCTGAGTGGGTTCTTGCATTTTAAGATTCCAGGATATGAAATTGTGAGCAAACACTAATGAAAACTTAGATGCCAAGTAGGATGCGGAGTAGGATTCCTGCTGCTCTGAGAGGACCGAAAATATCTCAGGTTTCCATGCATGACTTCACTTCTGGTTGCAATGGATTTTTTTTAAAAAGGCAATGTCTATTCTATGATTCTAAAAGTTTCAACCTGCTTCCCCCTCAGATTGGAGGTTGGAACATCACTGGCTCCTGGAACCAGACCAACTTCATGGACATTTTGAAACTGGTCTCAGCAACATATCGAGCTTCTCCTTTCTTCACTGTTTTTGTGGGACCTGATTCTAAAAGCTCCAATAGCAACATCATCCAGGTAACCTTTTCCCTGTTCTCCCAGCTGTTCCAACAGCAAGTGTGCCTAACTCAGAATAGTTCTCACCACCCTCAGCCTGATCTCATCAGGCTTGCTGTGAGTAGACTATAGCAAATCCTGGATCAAAAATGGTTCAGTGGAGATATATCAGAGGTTATCTGAGAAGGTATCTGGTCAAAGAAGTAGAAAAGAAACAAAAGGAATGCAGGAAGGAGCTGAGATGCAAAAGAGGGTAGACAATTGTTTGCTTGTACTGACAATTGAGGAGAACTGGAAGCATTTGGGCTTCCATGCTCCGTTCCCCTCAGTTCTCTGGCTCATTTTGGCAGGGGGGGGGGAGAAACTTTCACTCCAAGGATGTCAGGTTCAGCCTGCACCGCACGCCTAGGAACTTGCCCAGCCGCGCTTTAGTCAATTTCACCGCTCGAGCGCGAGCGCAGAAAGAGGAAAGGCGAAACCGCAAGCTGATGA